CTGTGATGGACTGGTGTCCTGTCCAGGGTGTATGTGTGTGCGCTGTGATGGACTGGTGTCCTGTCCAGGGTGTACCCTGCCTTGTGCCCGTTACTTGCCAGGATAGACTCTGGCTCCCCAGTAACCTGAATCTAAAGAAGTGGTTAGAAAATGGATGGATTGATGGATATAATATGCAATCATGTGATAATTGCATATTATATCCCTCTGTGATAATGTAATATAATAGATGTATGTGATATAATGCCTCTGTAGGTTGAAATCAAAGGTTTGTGTCCTTAATTTGTTTTTCTTCCTCTGTCCTGTGCAGAAAATGAAGACTTTGGCCCAAAGGCGTCAGTCTGCACCTTCGCTGGTTATCAGTAAAGCACTTAACAAGTCCAGAACAATCTCCAGGTACGAGCAGAAAGGCTACGGCCATGTACTCTCTTGAGAACTGTTGAATGTGATTTGTTTTTTTCAACTGTTAAAGATGTTTTTGGAGTTAAATGAGTAAATCTGCCAGACATAAGATGAGATCACTTTATTGGCCATATACAAGTTCTTGCATTGGGAATTTGTCTTTTCACCTACCCCAGCTTGCTCTCCATGAGACACACAGGCAGGGAGAGAAGCTGGGGGTCAGAGCGCAGGGTCAGCCATTTATACGGCGCCCCTGGAGCAGCTGGGGTGAAGGGCCTTGCTCAGGGGCCCAACGGAGTAGGATTCCTCTGCCGGCCGTGGGATACGAACCAGCAACCTTCTAGCCCCAGGCGCAGATCCTGAGCCACAGAGCCACTGCTCCGCCCCACTCTGACAGACAGAGTAAACTGTCTTCGGTCCTCCCTCAAGCTTTTACCTTTTAACATGGCTTTTACTTGTACTGGCCAGCACTGTGTATCCATAGTCTGACTGCCAGCTGAGACCTGCTGTACTCTAACCCTATCTACTGTAAATGTCAGTGGAAATGTAGAAATTAGTATTATCTTCCACATAGTCATGATTTGGTATAGAAAGATCCCTGAGCCCTTGATTACTACACTGTTTTCTATACATTTCTCTAATTGTACAAGAAGTGGCGCTGGTCTTTGTGTTTTGAGTATGGCCCGTGATTGGAAAGAGAAAAGCAGAGTGAATGAGGCGGAGTCCGATGTTTGTGTGCTGAGGGCTGCACTGGTAAATGTCTCATAATGTGTAAAAATATTGTGTAAGGCAGTGTCTCATGTGACAAATACTAAATAAAAGCTACAGTGGGCAGGCTGTTACGGTGGTGTTATTTGGCCCAAAACAATTTTAAGAGCAGGGCTCTCTAAGAAAGAGGTCATTGTATGTGTGAGTCAGACGGTTGTGGATTTTTGCCAGTGTAAACAGCACTGAAGGCATCTATGTTTTAGAATTTGAGGAAATGCCGTAGGTTTTCATTAATTGGGCTGCTTCTTGCTTCAGAATTGTTTCTCGTCTGGCTACGTCACGTCTAATTCATGCAATACTTGAAGCAACAAATGAGGGGATACTGAGAATCTGCCTTTGTGATATATGTATACTTTCACTAGGAATAACAACACCCAAGAATGAAGTGTACTGAAAGGATGAAGGAGTGTTTCAGTGAAAATGGGGTTTAGCAGGCTTGGCTTGGGACCCCCCAGCAGAGTGAGGAGTGTCCCAGGGGCAGCTGCAGAGGAGGAGATGGGCTGGAGGAGGGATACAGGAGACCTGTGTGAGAGGGGGATCTTGAACGGTGTCTATAGTGTTTTAGGAGAGGAGATGACGTGGGGAATACCTGATTACTGACAGCTGAGTCTGATTGAACAAGGCTGTTGTCATCCTTCCCGAACTCTCGTTATAAGCTCCATAAATTCAGTTGCCATCTCATGATCCGCATTAGTGTGATTGAATTTTGTTTTAAGACACAGAAGCTGGGTGTCTGGAATCAAAGCCTTTCGGTTGTGTTGCAGTTGAGCAAAGCCTGGTGTTAGTGTGTTTCTATGCAGGCTCACGTATGCTTACCTAGTGAGGACGTAATAAAAGAGATATGTGCCCCAGCAATAAATCTTGTCCAGTTCTCTGTTAAAAATCTCTGAACATGCATTAAAATTACAAGTTGCTGGACTCAGATGTTTTCTAGTGCATGCCCCATCCACAAAGACAAACTGTTTAACATTTTAAATTTCATGCCTGTAGCATCATTCTCAGGGTGCATATTTCTGCCAAAGGGAGTCTTTCTGGAGAAAGCAGACCACAGCACCTGCCAGTCACCTGCTTTGCTAAGGTACAGCTACAGGACTTCAGACTTTACTCTGCTCTGTGTCTGCTCAAGAGCCTCTCTACCGACCCAACCACCAGATCCAGCACAGCAGCGCTTTGACGCAGGTTAAAACCAGAAAATATGCTAAATCTTCATTCATGTGGCACAAGTGCGTTTCTTGTTGTGGTACAGTATCTCTGTGTCTCTTAAAGAAGGTCAGCAGTGTTATGCACAGACTCCAGTCTAATCACTCTGACCTGAGTTGCTGGTTGTGCAAGCAGCCAGCTCTTGGTTAAGGCTGCCCCTTTGCTCAGCTAGAGACACAGGGAGTCATGTGGAAAATGAGGCTGAAGGTTAACTAACAAAATGAAGGCTGGAGCAGGGAGGGCATTTTTTGACTTTGCAGAATAAATGCTAGATTGTGCCAGTGTAATCTTGGTTGTTGTGTGGTGAAGCAGAAATTAAAACTCACAAAAATGCTAACTTTTTCAAACCCTCAGAGCTCAATTCATAATTATACTGTATGTTTCACTATTCACCTTACATTTCAACTGAAGGGTACTTAAGAAAATAATAAAGACCCTAGAGTAACACGACTGATCATACAGTTAGAGAAGATCGTCTAGCAAGTGCTCCAAAATAAAAAGCAAACCTGAGCTTCAAGATTAATCGCCACTGTGAATCCAGCACTGCACTCTTAATGTTAATACACTATTATTTGTGTCTAATAATCCCTTGTAATGTTAATGTAAATCCTCAGCCATCAGTGGAACTGTAATGCAGTCTACTGTACAGTATGTCACTGCAGGACCGTGGGCTCCAGGGAAATTTCCTTTTTAGGCACATACAGTATATACCTTAGGCTATTGGATTGTAGGAGGAAACTGGAGCACCCAGAGGGTACCTGCATGGACAGGGTGAGACAGAGAGCACCTCAGGTCCAGCTTCGAGCCCAGGGCTCCAGCGCTGTGAAGCAGCAGCACCAACCACAGAACCACCCTGCCACCCTCATTATAACCCACCCAGCAGTAACGTAGTTGGAAATAAAGTAAATGTAGTTTTTTCACTATATCTGACTGGCTCAACAGAGGTGGGAGTCGGTGTTTAGCGAGAGGTATTTTGCAGCTGGTGGTTTTCCTAAGAACACAAGAATGGATACAGATGTGAGGGTGCTATTTGGCCTGTCGAGATGATTTGTATCATTTTGGGAGATACTGTACATGATCCTAGTGCGGATGCCCGTGGTGCTCAGCTGATTGCCATTGTCCATTAATCAGTTGACCAGCTTTTAATCTGAGTGCTTGGAAACCTACTTCCTGAAATTGAAAAATTTAATCTTTTGGTCAGCGCTTTAGCAGAAGCCTTCTGAAAACTCTACATACCTCATTTCGCAAGCTTTGTATCCATTATTGTTTTGCTTGGTCGAAGATCTCTAATAAGTTAGTTATGGAAAACCTACCCTTGATAATTCCATTATAGGTGATCCTCTACTTTAATTCTGATTATCGTTGTAGCATAATGTTGCATTTAATGGAAATAAGACATGTAATTATTTTTGTCACCTTTTATATGACTGGGCATGACAATACTCCAGTCGAATGGTGTTACCCTTTTTGACAAACTGCTGGAAGGGTTTTGTAAGTTACCTATGAAATTGAATAATATAATTTTCCTTGAATGCAATTATTAAAATACCATCAGGCCCCAGCAATGAGTTTATCGTCTGTGCTTCTAGTATCCCTTCTGCCTCTTTTGTATAAAATTAAACTCTACCACTGATTTCCATGGCAACGACCAGTCCAGTGGCAACACATGGGTGTGGAACATGTGCAGTAAGTGGTGCTTACTCTTGCTTACAAATTTGTCACCAGAAACCAAAGCCACATGAACGTGTCTGTAAACACACTGCCAAGTAGGGAGGGTGATGGTTGCGTTCAAGCCCGGCTGGGGTCTACAGCCTGTGTCCTGGGCTCGGGTTTCAGATGTTTTTATGGCCTGACCAGGAACACACGAGGCCAGTCCAGAAATCCAGAAACGCACATCTGGTAGAGGGTGACCTCATCCCTCCCAGAACCCCCGTTCCAAAACATGTGTCTGTTTGTGAAAGGAAGCAGAAATGTTGACAGGTTCATATTAAGGGCTGAGGGGTGTGTTAGTCTGTCTAGTTAGCCTCACACTGACGGGTTACCTGGCACCCTGCTGAGACACAGATGCTGTGTGATTTTAAACAGTCTTGCAGTGAATATGTGTACCTTATTTCAGGTTTTGAAAGGTTTTGCTCCTTGATTGTTCTGAGATATATCATGAGGTATATCTTGCACACAAGCAGGTGAGAGAGGGGCCCCATCTTGTTCATTTCGTATTTAAGAGCAAGGTGAATCGAAAATGTACTGTAGTCCAGCGAATTCTGAAACAAGTCCAGAGTTAAGTCCTCTATCATATGGTTGGGAAGCAGATAACTGCAAGTCTACAAGTGTACATTAAGAGTTTCCAATTCCTAATCAATTCCTATTCATTCCCTAAATGAATTTCCTAAATTTCCTTTTAGTTCTCTTTTCCTTGTTCCACAGCTGAGTGTGAGACATTCTCCTGGTTTGACCTTGTCTTTTTCCTTTCTGGATTGGATTACAACTCCTCTCACTCTCTGTTGTCTGTTCTCTTAACCAGACCATCTGCTCTGATTATCTGACACCAGGAATCATGTGGCTCTTCTAGTTCTGTTTTATCTACTTTTGTTTCCAATATCCAGTACTGATAGTCGGACAGTTTTTCATGCTTTCATTTTTGCTGCAAATACTGTAACACACTTGCATTTTACTTACTTTCAGTTACTTTTTATCAGGGGACTGAATAAATGTGGAGCCAACTGTATATATTTTGTATCCTTTATACAAAAAAATGTTTAAAAGAAAGTCTCCAGGGGTCTCTTTCATCACTTGAAAGTGTTTGGAGATATCTCAGACTGTAAACAGGAAAGGCTAGAATCCTCTAACCACATCCCCGGTTTCTAGGAAAATCGATTTCCACCCCTCGCAAAAACATGGGTCTTTAAAAGAATCGTTTTTAGAAGCCTCACTTTTATCCTGCACATAACCATCCAGCTTGATGAAAGAAGCTGACCAGCTTTCATTCACATTCATCTCAAAATACAAAATACACTGACTGGATTTAGCTGTAAATTCATGAAAAATGTATCATGAGGTTTAGCGCTTGTTTCTCAGATACTGTGTTGTTTTTAGCTGTTTACAACCTACTGAGACACAGAAAACCTTCCGGCTTCCAGGCCCACAGGACTGAAGTTGTAAATCGCTGGTCTAGAACATTCTTTGAGCAATACAGAATCTATTTTTATCAATCTTGATTTAAGACCTACATTGAAAATATAGTTTTTTATTCAGTGCCGTGTTTTGGGGCTTCTCTCTCACCCCTGTTGCACACAGACAACATCGTCTGCTGTAGGTGTTGCACATGATTAAAGGCTCAGACCCTGAAACACACCTGAGCCTTGGATAAAGCTGGGAATCATGGATAGACTTTCTATATATACTGTATAAAAGGATTACCAGTCAACCCCTGCAATGGAAATAACCTTGTTAGAGCAACACTGTTACTCTTGTCACCTACTTTCTTAAATCACCCTATTTCGTGGCCATTGCACAAGAGTTTTCACTGCTCTCCAAAAGGTGCTGAACAAACAACATACTGTAGCTATAAATCTGTGTAAAAATTCAGCATAATGATATACTTACATTAACTAATCTGTGTACAATACTCTGTTTCATTCATTCGGTTTCTCAGTGATGTCTGCAAGGACAAGGACATTGGATGTCTGGATGAAGGAATTAATATGTTCTGTGTAATTTTTATAAAATTATATTTTTTTAAGAAAAGCATATTACAGTATAGAAATATCATCAACAGGTACTGTTCAGTATGCTCTTACTGATACATAATCTTCATTTAGTGATGCTTTGTAATGTCACCTAGACTTTTTTTTTACTTTGTATCTTCCCAGTTTTTGAACAGCTTATGCAGGAGAAGCGATAGTTTAGGCTGCATTTCATTAAAACTTTCCCCAAAGATACAGTAAGAGCAAGCTAGTGTATAAAGGAGGAATATGTACGTCGCACTAAGCGTTTGAAGGCAAAAACTTCTTCAAAAAAAAACTATTTAGAACTACTGTACATAAATGTATGTTCAGAAAATACATTAACTGACAAATTATGGGATAAAATGTACTGAAAAATAAGAGCTACCAAGAACCACAGGACATACAGTACTAAGTTGGAATGTGATGTGGAAAAAATGCTTTCTTTAAAGTGACAGTGGTTTCTTTATCAAATTAAGAATTAATAAAAAAGAAAGATTTTTGATTTGATCCTTTCAGGACTTAGTAAAAAAGTAAAAAATTATGGAGAGTTTTCTTTTAAAATCGTCATGCTTTGAGCACTGGGTGCTTCTATCAATGGTGTCAAATTTCATCGGTTGCTTTTTTACAGCACAATATTTACGTTTGCTATCATCTGGGCCTTTTTTTAGGGAAAGCTGCCTGTCTCCCATCAGCCCAGACAGCTGTCCCCTGGTCCAGTCCTTCCTCTCTCCAGCACGAGTGTTTGTTATGGATGGACATGTCCAGCTGAAGACCGGACTGCAGACACAGGAGAGACACCTCTTCCTCTTCAATGACATTCTGGTCATCGCAAAGTCCAAGTACGTTCGACAAAATTCCCATTCTAGATACAGAGTACAGTAGCTGTGACCATGTGAAACTGGAGCTGTTGTGTGAAATAAAAATCCATTATTTAAAATACAGCGTAGAGTTTAGACTTTGGTTTATTTTTGGAATAGTGGCTTCAGAGGTTTGGACTCTGTAAAACAAGTCGTCAAACTATTTTGCTTCACCAGAAGAGGACTTTGGACTTTGTATCAGTGCTCTCAGAGAGGATTCAGTGCTTCAGTTTCTGCGGAGCTTGCAGAATCACGTTACAGACTGCAGGTTACTGAGATGAGCGCGAATCATATCCCTTTCTTCTGTTTTTGTAAAGAGCAGCAAATCCTGCTCGGGGCTGCTACTATGTACCAGACTGCTGTGACCCTGAGCCATCAGCAAGCTGAATTTTATATATTCAATTCAAATCTAAAGATTGTATTCACCCCTTCCGCCAGGGCAGCACGCATTGAAGCACACAAAACATTCCAAATCCTACTGGTAAGAAAACAGCGGCGCAACGTGCCGAAAAGAATAAAAAATTAACAAAAACAGAATAAGATCTGCAAAGTGATGGAGAGTTACAAAGCGCATGTGCATTTCAAGAGCACATGACATGGTACAAAATGAAATAGCAATCAATCCATTCGATGTTAAAGTACACGTACACTTGCAGAAGAGGTCCTGTCCAACAGAGATCATATCGATATATATCTAGTATACATGATTTTCAAACAACGGGGTTTTGTTTGGATGGGATTTTGCCTAGTCCTCAGACAGGGCTCAGTGCAGATGCTCTTTCAGAAGGCTGATGTTTCGCTGGTCTGTAAAGGCCACTTGACCCCTCTAGCCTGTTCAGTGTGCGCTGACTGGGAATCACGGAACCACCTACTCATCATCTGACGTTGGTTTTAAACATACTCCCCTGGTCTCGCTGTGCCTCCATTAATCAGGATGAAAATCAGAAGAGAAAAACAACACACAAAGTATTGAAATTCTGTCAGGAGTCTCCCACAGATACTAAATGTTTTCAGACGATGCAAACAGCTCTCTGCGTGTTGCCATAACAAGTGTCAAAGTTTATGTCTCAGACTCTAAAGCTGTTATACTATTTCGTAACTACCTGTTTGGTCCTTTAAGGTTGCGTTGTCCCTTTTATTACGCTATAAATGTCATGAAAAACATACTGTACAACACACACAGTTTCACAGCACTCCTGGCTCCAAGGTTGCTGTTTTATGAGTTTGATGCTAAACCTTTACTGTTGTAAACGCAGTGCTATATGGGAATGGCACAAGTGCAGTAATGCTGTAATTGATTGTTCAGGTTGCTCAGAAGAATAAGAACTTAGGTCTGCTACTGTGTAACTGAATGCAAAGCACAGGTGTGGGATAGAAAACATTCATAATGTTTGCTGGTGTTGTTTCTAAGGTGTCTTCAGCAGTAACCTGCTATGTGTCTCACTTGACTCTCACTGGAGAAAACCTTCGGCTGTTACCTGGATGGTGTGACCTGTACTCAGATATCGCACTGCCCTAGTGGGCCTGGAGCAGGCAGATACACTCCCTAGTGATGTTCATCAGTGACGATCAGGTGCCTCTGTTTAATAGACCCGCAGAGAAGCACTGGGGTGAGAGTGACTTGAACAATGTGAAAGAAAGAAGATGAAGAGGATTTTTGTTTTCTTTTTTTGTCTAACAGTTGACAATAAAGGGAAGCATGAATTTCAATAGTCCCGCTACACAGGTGCACTGGTTTACTTTTTGTGTATCATATCAATCATAGCTACTCTCATAGCTGTTTTCCTAACCATTCTAAGTCTCAGAGAACTCCTGCAAAGTCCACTTCTTTTGAAAGACAGAACCTTAGCTTCTCTTGAGTTCGGCTCACTTATTGACAGCATTGTGTGATAAAGCCGGACTGCTATTTGCAGGTCCACCTCACACTTCAAGCTGAAGAATCGTGTCCGTCTCAGCGAGATGTGGATGGCGTCCTGCACGGAGGAGGTGTGTGAGGGCAGTACCAGCCCTGAGCGCTCGTTTGTCATGGGCTGGCCAACCACGAACTGCGTGGCCACGTTCAGGTGGGAGTCTGCTTTGATATGGTATAGTTCAAGTGGTATGTACTGTATGTACTGTATGTATTTCTCTTGAGTTGTTCATGTAATGCAGAAAGTTAATAGGTTGCTTTTTCCTTTGAAATAAGTTACTGAGTGTAATGCATCGCTGCTGGAGATGGTAAAGCAGCAACATGTTTTTGGGAAATGCACCCAAGAGCAGGCACCCAGCAGTGAGTGAGCAGCACGGTGTTGGCAGCCAGCCCATGGAGACAGACCAGGCAAGCGCAGTCCAGGCAAATGCAATCCAGAGCTGTAAACAGGGACAAGCAAAGCTCAAAACCAAGAGACAGAATACAGAGCACCAGAGGAGAGTCCAGAGAGTAAAGAGAGTGAAGGCAAAGCAGGGTCCAGAATCCAGGGAGCAAACACAGATAGAACTCCAGAATTCGGGGCAAAGCTGGAGATGGACCCTATGACAGAGTTCCTGATCACTGCCAGATCACAGCTTACTGTATATAGTCTTCAACCACCTGAGGCAGGCCTGGTGGATAACTGCCTCCAGGTGGTATGAGACTCCTGTTGAATTAATTACCATGGTAACCGGCACTGAATGACAAGCGGCCTGCTATGATGTGAATATTCCCCGCCTCTCATTTGCAGTGACAAGCATGACACTGACTCTCCTCCCCTCAACTTAGTGCACATTTTGAACAGGGAGAGAAGGCAGTCCTTAAAGTAAGCCCAATCCTACCTCAAGACACCAGACAGAACCGTGTTTGCAGACTGGTATTAGACATTCATAAGAGGGGAATTAATCTAACATATTGTGTTTAAAATCTGTGATGTACAGTACTAACAGCAAAATCATTATTTGAAATGCCAAAAGAACTGTTAGTGAAAAGGCTAGGAAAGATTATTTTATGCCTGTACAAGAACATTATTTTTGTATCTGTTCAAAAATTATGAAGACTAAAGATTTATACAGTATGAATATGCAGTATGTAAGCACAAAAGTTATTTTATCTTTAACTATGCTCCTGTTATAACCTCAGTATTCTTTTTTTCAGTTCCACAGAACAGAAGGAAAAATGGCTTTCCTTTATGATGAGGTAATGTCATTTCAAATGAGTATGTAACACTAACAATATAAATGTTCTGTGCATGAATTCTGAGTGATCAGACGCCATGGATGAATGTGCTGGTGATTTGTGTATTTGCCGGTTAAGTGTTCAGTATGTAGGTTTGATATCTTGGACTCTCAAAGAGTTTTCAATTCATAACAAATACATTTGTATTTTTTTTTCAATAGCCGAATCAAAGAAGAAAAAGAAAAAGATGATCCCAAAACAATCCCTTTAAAAATATTTCCTAAAGACATCGGAAACTGTGCATATGTAAGTACATAGAAGTGATATTGACTTTACCCAACCTTTAGAAATATGCAAGTAAAAGCACACTATTTCTTTTCATCATTTTTAGTTTTTGAATTTAGTTTGATGTAAAAATGATATCCACATTTGTGTTTGCCTGTATTGTATCTGCAGTAAATCCTATATTGGTTTGAGCAAGCTGAAGTCCACATAGAGCCTTTTACTTGCTTGGTTCTTGGTAAAGAAATCATAAGATTTTCACCTGCACAGCCACAACAATGAACCCTTTGCTGGTTGTGACTCTTTTGTGGCTACTGACCTCTTAAAACCCCTTAATCTGTACTGAGGGGGAATGTGCTCATTCAGCCTGAAGAAATCCACGAGCTCGACTGTCTCCTGATTATCGGGAAAGGCTTGAACAACATTAGGCCAGCACTGCCCCCAGACTGCCCAGTCTGTCACCAAGGCAAGGTGCTTTTGAGCTTTTTCCAAGGGTGAGCAGCAGATGGAAAAGTTGCCTACAGAATCTGGCGATCTGCTCTTGATCTGTTCCTTGCTCTTCAGCCCCTAGGGTGACTTGAAAAATAACCGTACTTTCCCAACATAATCCAAGTCTGCAATACTGGAAGTGAAACAGTAGAACAGCATTTCCCCATCACTGCAGGCTTTCGCTATAAAACACATCACAGATTTCCGTATAGTTCTGAGTGGCTTGGAGGGCATAGTTCTTAAAAAGCTCTTCAAATTTTTCCCAGTAGAGTACACAGCAGTTGTAAAATTACTGAACAAATTAAATACAGTAGGTAATAGCACTACTCTCAATGCAATTTTTTGTAATATGTTATGTAATATTTTTCGTATTATTTATACTTATTTGTATGATTGATGATGACAATGATCCTGTATCTGATGGGTATATTTTATATTTAAAACTGCAACTTCAAATACGTTTTTGATATTCCCTTATAAAGTCAAATACGTTGTTAAAAAAACTAAATTCGCGTCCATTTGTTGATTTCTACGTTTAAGTCAATTAGAAAAAAAGGCACAGAATGTGAAATGAGCAGATTAAATGCAGTAATATGGGTAATGATTATACAGAGTGGTCGCTGTGAAAAAGGAAATTTACTGGAGCATATGTGTTGATATTAGAGACTTGACATAACTCTCCAGGAGAAGCCAGGGTTCCTTTGTGATTTGTTGGGGTTGAACAATAGTTTTTCTCTGAACTGGTGATTTCATAGCCTTTTTGTAGAGGTGATCTTCCTTTCTTGTCATGTGCCTCGTTAGTGTATGAATCCAAGCTTCACGTGTTTCGAGTGTTCATTTATTTTGTCGTTTTCTTCTTCTTTCGTTTCTCCCCCTCCCTCAGTCCAAGACTCTAGCAGTCGGCAACACCGACTCGGCCACTGAGGTCATCAAGATGGCCCTGCAGCAGTTCGGAATTACGGTGGGTTTTTTCCTCTCTCTCTCTCCTTCTCTTTCGCTCTCTTTTGTCCTCTCTCCCTTTTTCGTTAACAGCCTCAATACCACCTCGCTATTAACTGGTAAATGTTAAGATCCCCCTGAAATACCTCAACAGCATCACTTCTGATTGCAGCGGCCCCCTTTCACGTTTGCAGTGCATTGAAACAAACCAGGCACTGGGTGTTTCTGAAGGGCCTGGTAAGATCAGGTTCAGTATATACAAGCCTGAAGTGGCTAGCAGATTGTCTTTAGCTGTGTGCTCCAGCCAACTTCACTGAGCCATCACACGGCTCAGATACGTTCAGGTAACATCTTCTGTCTGGGCTGCAACGTAAGAAGAGCCTCTCGGCTGGGTGTTGGGGCCACTCTTGATCTGAGGTGTTGAAGTGAGCCTCACATTTCTTTTCCTCTTTTCCCTGACAGGGCTGTGTGAAAGACTACCGGCTGTGGGTGAGCTCAAGCAAGGAGGATGCACCTTATCCCCTGATTGGTGAGTCTGCAGGAGACCTTTAGAAATGTTACAGGAACCTTTTCGTGATGCTAGCTAGCCAGATCACTGGTTGCAAGAATACACTTCTGTGGGTGTGTTCCAGACTTTCACAACCCCTCTCTTAATGCTTAAATCCACTTTCCCATACTTTCCTCTTGTATCGTATGGTTTGTGATTCGCTGGGGGTTCTGATTCCTGTTGTGTGGTTGTTTGGACAGCGGGGATGGGGATGGATTTTCGACAGGGCGTCAGTCTCCCTCCCTCTCTCTCCCCTCACAGGACACGAATATCCATTCAGCATCAGAATGAGTCACATTCGAGAGCCCATGTCCCAGTCACCCACAGCAGGAGGCAGGGGTGCCACTTCCCCTCCAGACCTGCAGGGGGCTCTGCTCCTGGAGCAGCTGCCTTCGGAGGCACCGTGCCATTTCATTCTGAAGTCCAGCCATGCGGCCACGTGCCAGCAGTTAACAGGTAAGTCTCCCTCACTCAGCCGCCCTGATGAAGACTGATCACGTGTTCGAGGTCACCGACAGAGAGAGAAAGAACTGCAGTCAGATTCTGTTGCTGACTGTTCCAGTGGACGTGTGGCTCTCTAATGATGTAGCTTTAACCCTGGGCTGAAACTCTTCTAAGTGTACGATATTGAATTACATACATTTGCAATTATTTTTTTATTTATTAACATCTTAGTACATTTTTAGGTTTCTCTTGACTTTCTGCAGGGGTTCTTACAGGGCATGCAAGTGCGATGTGCAGGAATTGGGATAGAGCATAGATGTTTTTATGTGCGCATAGAGCTCACATCTCTCACGAGTGGCGGAAAGACGTTCACAGTACGTGCAAGATGATTTTGTGAGCACACGGGCGGTGAGGTCATGTTTAGATGTCTAAATCATGCACTGTGCATCCCAGGAAAATGAATGGGTGAACAAAATGCGGTGCTTACTGTAAGGCAGTTAGAAAAGCACCACAGCCTCAGAGCGTCAAAATACAACATTTTCTTTTAATCACCTGAGCTGGCACCGTGCGCAGAGGTGGAAATAAGGTCGCTTGAAATGACACGGGATTCGGTATTGAACGGCATGTGTGAGCCAGCGTCTCCCATCAGCAGATCTCCTTTCCTTCACGTGGAAATACTTCACAGCGGCCGGGTGTTTACTGGCTTTAGCTTCCCTGTGCTGCGGATTCCTTTCCTACCGCCAAACACAGACAAGCAGACGGGATTTATAAAAAACAAACAAACAGAAGGCTTGTCTTATTCTCCAAAGACACGGCACATTCTGGAAACCAAATGGTAACATTGAGGCTGTAGAATGTGTGTGTGTGTGTGTGTGTGTGTGTGTGTGTGTGTGTGTGTGTGTCGCTCCCCCAGATGAAAGCCGCCTTTTTCCTCTTTCCCTCAGAGCCCAGCCAAAAGCCCTTGAAGAGGAAGAGGTCGATTATAAACTGGGCCTTCTGGCGCGGCTCTGCCACCCAGCTTGACACCCTGCCTGTGTCTCCCACTTCCCCCAGCCCCGGGAGGCTGTTCGGTCTCCCGCTGAGTGCCGTCTGCGAGGACGACAGCCTGCCCAAGCCAGTCATGGTAAGCAGGCTTCAGGTGACTGAGAGGGAGCAGAGGGTCCTTCCCAGCTAGGATTCTATCCAAGCTGCCAGGTTGTACAGCATTTCATTCGGCTTAGTGTTTCATTACCGTTCGAGGGTTTGTTAATACAGTCCATTTCTCGGTCTTTGCAGACTCGGCAAGTCAACTTAAGAAATAACAGGAAAGTGTTTAACGCTGCTGCATGTCATTGACGGTATATGAAGGTCACCGTTCGTTGCGATAAGCACCGGTCACTGGCCTGAGAGGTGTTAAGTTCTGTGGGATCCTCGTCTCTCTCTTCCCTCGCAGGACATGCTGTGCTTCCTGTTTCAAGAGGGGCCGTTCACAAGAGGCATTCTCCGCCGCTCGGCCAACGCCAGGGCCTGCCGCGAGCTGAGGGACAAGCTGAACTCGGGAGAGGACGTGCTCTTGAGCCGGGAGTCGATATTCGTGACAGCAGCCGTGTTCAAGGTGACAGACTGCGCTTTCGCCCTGCGGCACGGGTTTGTGTGAAGAGCAGACTGGAAAGAGTGCAAGATGAAATGCTGTAGTTACATCTATGGACAGTTCCTAGCAGCTGTATTTTCATTTTTATATACTGGCATCTGCTGTACATTTTTACCAACAAAAGAACTGAACACCGTCTGAAAAACTACAGTCACTATATTGATATGATAGTGACAAAAGCCCCTTTTATTTTCTGTTGGAATATTATGTTAGTATTCCATAAAAGTCCTAAAAAAAAGGGGGCAGATTGTAATTCCTGCCAAAATGAAGTGTGCTCGGTGATACGTTTGCTGGAACGTCTTCTAAAGAAAGAGTGTTGGAGAATAATAATTTTGTTTAAAATATTTACTTACATATAAAGGAAATCAAAGACAAACTTCATCCTTTCTAAACTCGCTAACTTGCAGCATCTTACCCTGTATAGCTGTATAGCTTCTGGGTGGCTCTGCTTCATCCGTGCCTGATATCCTGCAGCAGTCTCTAGCATTCCGTATATCACACTGGACGTTTCTGGTATTTGGCTTTTAATAAATCACTTGTTTGTTGTGCTATATTGCGGGTGGCAAAGCTCTTTAAGAAGACGGAAAGTGCTTACAACTTTATTCATTATTTATTGCTCGTCCAGGAGATCGTTAATTTGGGCGTATCTGAAGTCATCAGAAAAAAAAAAGCTCACAAATGTAATCTTGGCAGTAGGAGTGCAACGCATTAAGTGGACATAATGGAGACCTGCTGCCAGTCTGCAGTGTTGCTCATCTTCCCTTTCCACTCCGAGCAGTGGAGTAACTCGGGTGTTTTCCACTTGTTTCACCGAATACACCGGCAATGCTCTTCCTCAACCGGTGTCTTAGTAGGACTTCCTCTCCAGCAGCCACACGCAGTGCAGTCTTGCGTGTCCGACCGCTGATCCGTAGTCAGGTCTCCCTGCTGCCCTGACGGTGGTGTCAGCGGTGGGATTGGGAATGCTGAGTGTCACACATGGCCGTTCCCCATCCCACAGGACTTCCTGCGCAACATTCCTGGCAGCCTGCTGTCGCTGGAGCTCTACGACAGGTGGGTCAGCGTGATGGACCAGGGGCGTGACGAGCAGAGGATCCGGGCCACGCAGAGGTAACCGCACAGGGGAGTCCCTCTCCACAGACACGCCGCTCGTCTAGGCAGGTCTAGATACCACACAGGCAAGAGTTCGAAGAGCATGCGTTGTAGTCTGAAGTCGTTGCTGCAAAGATAAAATGCAGAAAAAGCTTCATTTTCTTAGGCTGCTCGAATGTGGACTGCCACTAAGGATTGAGTGTTACCAAACTTTTTTTTTTTGTGTGTGTGGAGCTTTGCTCAAGATGGGCTGTGCACGTGTTAAGCGGTGTGTGTTGTTATTCTGTAGCCTCATGGAAGAACTTCCAAAAGAAAACATGCTCCTGTTAAGGCACCTGTTCGGAGTCCTTCACTGCATTGAGAAGAACTCTGCAGAGAATCAGATGAACGCGTTCAACCTGGCCGTGTGCATCGCTCCCAGCATGCTTTGGGCTCCTGCGCCAGCCAGCCCGGAGGGCGAAAGCGAAGGAACCAAGAAGGTGAGAATTTAAAGATGCAGTAGTTTTTCAGTTCAATTCAATTCAACTTTATTGTCATTAAACTTACACTGGTGCATAGTATAATGAAAAGTGTTTCTCATTAGTCACTCAGGTGCAGTATATAAATAGGACAGAAGATAAGACAATAGACAGTTACACAATAGCAATAACAGTAATGTAATAACATAACATAAATAACATGTAATCAAGTAATCCGTATTTTGTCCGTATATGTCTGTAGAACATCCCCCGCCATCACAGTGCCTCCGAAAACAGTTTAAAACCCATTTAATCAAATCTAAAGTAAATCCTCAACTTTTAACACTCACAGTACAGGTAGCCGGTCCGGCAGTGGCTGGAACGGGATGAAGTGAACATGTTTCTGTTTGTCTGTCAGTTTGCAACGTTTGTAGCTGTGGTGATAATTTCATTGATCAAATGAGGGGACAGGACCCGGGTATCACTATAGAGAGTGCTAGATGTAAAATTAAGATATATACAAAAAGGCTAACAGACTCCAGAAAGAGTATACGTTCGACTGTTTTTTGTGATCATTCTTTTAAAGCATTTTAAAGCTTAGGCTGTTTTTTTTTTGTTTTAAACCTTTTTGTTTGCAGTCAAGGTCATTTATGATAACTGGTTGATTTAGGAAAGATACATCCATTGTGTATCGTTTCCACAAATTTAAGCCTTTCGCTGATAGGACTGCGGTGCATTTGCGTCATTCGCCCTGAGACGTGTCACAGAGCGTTTTTCTTTTTTATTGCACGCCGAAGAGTGTTTACATTTTTGTGGAATTTGAAATTCAGACCCATATAAAGCTATTAAAAGGTTTCCTTTGCATTCCTGAGGACACTGCTCCTCTCATAAATTCAATGTAAAACAGTTTTGCACATTTTTTAGAATATTCCAATTTGAAAAAAAAACAGGAAATGTTTATAGTTGGGAAAATATGATCCAACTATGTTTCTTGTGGACACACAGCAGCCAGAGACTTAAATATTTCTCTGGGTTTCAATGATTTTGATTGAATAAAACATGTTACATTCAACATCAGTAGTCTTATTTATTTGTTTTATATTCATTTTAAATATTGTTCTAGTGAACCTGGGCTGCTTGGGAGTCCCAGGTTAATGAAATGCACTTTGTGTCTGCTAGACCTTCACAATTGTCTGAAGCTTGAAGCTTTTGAATCCTGATACTTTACTGTGAAATAGGATCTTATACTCCTAAAAGTGTTAGTGGCTTTTGAAAAATAGTAGTTTTAATAACTGTGATTGGATAGTATTTTAAAACACGACTATGCTGAGATTATGGCTCTGACTCATCACAGAAAAGCAAAGCTGTTGTAAAATACTTGTGGCCATTTGAAAAACCATCTTTTTCATAGACTGCACATTTCAGGGGATCCTTCGTCATCAATAGTGCATTATTAAAATATCTAACGTATGTGTATGAGATACTGTCTTGTGACAAAGGGTTTACTATATGTGATGTTCTTGTAAAGAAGGAAGACGATTAACAACAGTAAAAAGAGAAGAGAAAAATCAGAACAACAAATGATTTCTTTGAGATTGATGTGTAAAAACTGTTTCCAAGTCAAAACCATGAAACAGTGTTTGAAAATACAAATCACTGTGACAAGTTATGGAAGAAACATTTGAAGAGCTGAATTATAAATCACTAAATTGAAAATAGAAGGTTACAAACATCAGCTAGTTACTTTCATAAATCTGTAACAAGACAGCATGTCTGACTTCATAATGGTTCTCTGTGGAATGGTGGCCTGAATAAAGAGGCATATATAAATACATTCCTTTTGCAGGTGTGTTGGAGTTAACAATGAAGAATACTTCCAATTGATTAGCCCTCTTTTTTCATGCCTCTCAGAATACAGTATATAACGTGTTTCAAGACAGTAACATGATCTGAGATTTCAAAGTTTGATGAGGGGGTCTGTAATTTTAAAAAGAAGGATAGTATTTGTGGTATTTACTGTACATCATTTATCTAATGCTACAGTACATTTCAAGAAAATACTGGTGTTATTATAACTCTTAAAAGATGTGGGACAACACTCCTTTTTCAGTTGCATTCTGCCAAGAGTTTTCTACTAATGTTTACCAGCACATTTTTAAATACTCTAGACCTTTTTTTAAAGCCTTGTCCTGTAATATGTTGGCCAATTATTAAGGTTTTTAGATGTCCTCACATTCATAGAAAGAATATACAGTAAAGGTGTACTCTGTCTTCAGGATTCAGGAACAGATATGGCGTAGGTTATGAATTAACAGAAAGGAATCGTGCCAGTCATGATTCACACAATTCACCTCAGTCAGAACTGGTGTGAGAAATGAGCCTGTAGTTTTTGCTGAAGAAGGACCTTGGATGCAGGGAGCTCATATCTGTACAGTTGTGACCACTACAGTATAAAAACGAACACTGTTTTCTTTCAGGTCTCCAGCGTTGTGCAGTTTGTAATAGAGAACTGTGACAAGATCTTCGGGGAAGATGTCACTGGCCTTTTTGGGAGTTTACCGCAGAAACGTGCCGGCAGTGATCACGGCTCAGGTAAGGCCACAGAGTTATTGTGCACCGCAAGTCACGAAAATGTCACCACACGTCTTTCATACTATAGTATAGTACAGTACATAAAAATTGCATCTTTCATTCTGCAGCATCCTTGAGCACCTTGAGGAAGACGCAGTTGCTCTGGAGATCAATATTTTATGAATTTAGTGAAGTCAGATGCCCTGCAAATGAGCTTTGCAACTCCACAGTGCCCTCTGTATAGAAGAGAGCGCTCATTTTAATCTTGTCCAAATATGAAGTGTTTTTAGGAAACAAAGGAGCCGAACGTACAGCGAAATACCAACAGTGAACTGAAACTTGATACAAGTTGAAAGGAGTGACGAGCAGAAGGGAGAGAACTATCTCGACAGAAACCATCCCCAGTCGTACCATTAGACACGATCACTTGCTTTGGATAGTTTTGTAAAATAGGACAAATAAATGGAATACCTCAGCGTTAGCTTGATAGCACGTGTTGAAAAATTTTACTTTTGTGTCAGTCAGCTGAAACTATCTTCCCTGTAGCTGTCGTTTTAAGCAAGACCAAGGTGATTGTATTTCTCGCCAAAATATTGGATCTCCAGCAAGAGATCCCACTAATTCCAAACAGCAGGAATAATAAAGGCAATCAATCAGACATTTTTCACGTTACAGTTCTGATAAGTGGACACTTGAGCGTGTCTCATGCATCGCAGCACGTTCTCCTTAATTCCTTGTTCATTCCTTTCATTCCTCGAGTTCTTCTAGATATCACTTTGCAGAATGGTTTGTGGGTTTTTTTTTCCTGAAAAGCTGAATTTTCCTGACCGTCCAGTGGATAAAGATAGAAATTGAATGCATGGATGGGAGCTGAATTTTGAAATACTTTTGATTTTTTTTAGCCTTGCATTTTGAAACTTTCCATGACGACGTGCAAAGCGTTGTACCTGGTTGTTTTAAATGCAAAAAAAAGGTTTAAAATACGACATAATAAAAAATGACAATAACAATCATTAGACTTTTAGATTGTAAGATAGGCTGACTAAACTGGCCAGCATCTAGTGGTAGTTCCTTCTAATGATAGGTCAGTATGGAATTTTTTTATCCCGCGGTATTTGACCTTTAGTCATTTCACGGGCTCTTTGTTGGCACCTTTGACTTCTTCGGAATGCTCTCTTAAGGAATTAGTTTAAGATTTCCATTATCAGTTCCATGAAATCTGGAAAACAAAAGATTCAAAGACAAAATGAGTTCTTTTTTTTTCTAAATTAGTATCAGATCCGATCATTCTCATACCCTAACCTAAGGTTGTTTTGCTAACCTGTTGTTGTAAACTTCCTTGTCCTAGAAGTCCAATCAGTGTAAATTTAAGATCTACCTACAGAATAAAAATAAAGATGAGCATGTTAAATGTTTTGATGCTTGCATTATTGTAGGTCTCTGAACTCATGTTTGTTTGTTTAGGTACTAGTGGAATAATTCAAGGGCTGAAATGTTATTTGTGACAACTTTTTTACGTATCCTAATGGATGTGTCTAATAATAAGGGTATTTTAGTTTTACAGTGTTTATTTAAGTGTTATAAAATGCTACTGTAAAACAAGACAGAAAAGATTATCTCAATTTTTCAGAAATTGGTTATCTGGCTATATAACACTACCTACAATTAAAGTCTTTGTATGTATCTGTGAATGTATTGAAAATAGTTTTTTATCCAGGAAAAGTAAATTGGAAACTTTATAAAGGTTACAACAGTTAAGAGATAAATAATAATAATTCCTTATACTTACATCTTGCTCTTTCTGGACACTCCACTCAAAGCGCTTTACAGGTAAAGGGGATCCCCTCCACCACCACCCATCACACAGTGTGTAGCCCAGAGTGCGCCAGTACTCTCCCCACACACCAGCTCTCAGAGGAGAGCAGAGTGATGAAGACAGTTCAGAGATGGGGGTTATTAGGAGGCCATGATTGGTAAAGGCCAGGGGGAAATGTGGCCATTACACCTGAGTAACACCTGGGATTTTTAATCTCATCCGAAGGAGAAAACGCACAGAAAAGCATTTGCCCTTAAACGTCATGTAGAGGAATCTGTTTTCAGAAGTGCTTGGGTACACCTTAGAGTATGTTGAATGTCCTGTGGGTGTGGATCCCCCCGTGCTGACATTTACGTTCCTTTTGTCCGGGCCCAGATGCGTCCTACTTCCAGATGAATGACTCCTCTTACGACAGTCTGGAAAACGAGCTGAACGACGACGCGGACTCTCCCTTCCCGGAGCTGGGCAGGAAGGACAAGCAGGACAACCGCAGCAGGGACTCCGTCATCACCCTGAGCGACGGCGACCTGGACCAGCCCGAAGCCGAGCCCGTCCGCCTCCGGCTGCCCCCCCTGACCCGGTCCAGGAAGCTGGCCCCCGCGGCCCGGCAGAGCCGGCCTGGCAGGGAGCCGCTGGAGACAGGCTCTCTGTACCCGAGGGGCGCCAGGAGACACCGCCGCTGCTCGGAGCCCACCCTCTGCCTCTTGCCGTCGGGCTCGGGCCCGCCGGGTGAGGAGCACGAGGCGGTGGTCCGGAAGGCCAGCTACGACGCCGTGATCGCCGCAGACGAGGAGGGCTACGTGGAGCAGCTCCACGGCTTACAGCTGGAGAGGCGAGACTGCCGCCAAGGCACAGACGCAGACTCGGGACGGGCGGGCAAGGACAGGGGGGACTCGCGGAACCCTTCGCGCCTGAAGCTCAAACAGCCTCCCCCACTGAGGCTCAACCTCTGCCCCGCCACCAGCTGCTCCAGCCTGTCTTCGCCCGGCACGTCCCCGTCAGGCTCCTCCATGAGCTCCCTGGACAGCGCCTTCTCCCAGTACTCCGACCACTCCGTCTTCACGCCCGCCGAGCCCTGCTTCCCGAGGGCCCAGGGCGAGCTATCTCCGCGGTCTCCCAGCCTGCTGTCCCCCGTCCTGCGCTCCAGCCCCAAACCGGACAAGCTGAGACTGGCCGGCTGCCCCAAGGAGAGCTGCGAGTGGACGCTCCAGAGGAGCCCCCACAGCCTGCACCCCAACACGTGGCTGAAGAAAGACCGCAGCTGGTCCCTGTGCAAGAGAGAGCGGCGCTGCGCCGCAGAAGAAGAGGAAGAAGACGCAAACCGGAGCAAAAGCCCGCTTCCCAGCGAGACTCCTCGAGTTCCCCTGGAAGACGCTTGTCAGGAAGTTGGAAAAACAGCCAGAGAGCCAGCAGACGGGGGCACAAAAGAGCGGAGCAGGCCGCCGCCCTATCAGGAGGCCATACTGCAGATTTATCGGTCAAAGCCTCCATTTTACCAGGCTAGACAAAAAGGTTTCTCTGTAAAGGACCTCAGGCCCCTGCATGAGCAAGAGAGCAACAAGAGTGGTAGCCAGCAGACAGACGCTTCCCTGCAGCCCAGACTGCCAACCCTGAAAGTAGAGAGGAGTCCGGCTAGAGACGGTGAACTGGGACAGCTCCCTGAAGCTGTGTTCTATGGGCAGGGTGTCTCCTTGTGTGTTCACCCCATGAGGAGACAGCAGTCTCAGTCCTTCACCCTGGGCACCGAGCGCCCCAGAAGCCCGGCGCTGCGACGCTCCTCCGAGCCCGGTGTCGGCTCGCGTGGGGCGCCCTTCTCCTGGGAACCGGAGAGGCAGCACAGGCCTCTGCCCGCTAGAGAAAGCAAAGACCTGGCGGCCGGGGCTCTGCGGGGCCACAGGCTCAGGATCTCCGACGTGGACGCGAGCAGCAGGGGCCTGGATCCCGATTCACAGCCCAGCTGTTGCCTTTCGCCCGCCGCCACCCAGGCGGTGAAGGATTATTTCTCCCAGACGGGTGGTGAGAACTGTTTGAAAAAGACTCAGGAAGTGACCCGTGCGGTCCTTCAGAGCAAGAGGGAGTGGCAGAGTAAGAGGTGCAGCGACCCCAAGTTCGAAGACTTTGATCAGATGCTCTTTGCTGAGGAATCGTACGTGTGAAGGGGAAGGAATCGCTCTGTACAGCTTTATACGCGACAGGTCTGTGTTTCTGACTCTGGAAATTCACTCTGTATCAGCAAGTTGATGCCCCTTCCAAAGCTTGAGTGTCTCAGTAATGCATATGTAGGGGATTCCCACAGTCAGCAGTCTGTAATTTATATTTTCCAGTACGTTTCAGATGGTCTCCCAATGACAAGTGCACACAGGACCTGTTACCAAGAGTGTTTTGTGTTGTATGCTTTGAAAGCACTGCACTTTTTTATCACAGTTACGGAGAGATGACAGAAAATACAATACTCATTCCACTTTCTCGAACACTATTATTCCAGTTATCATATTTATTAAATGTATTATATATGTTGTGTCGTACTCCACAACTAGAATGTCTGTTAGTCCTAGTCATCAAGAAGGATCTTCAGTACTTTTAAAATAAATGCTTTTTGCAAATATAAAATACGTCTTACTATGTGTTTCGTTTTGGATGCAAGGTTCCATGTTCCAAGATAGAAGGTATTTTATTTCAGACTGAGAACAGGAGGCACTTCTCCACTCAACGGCTGTTTGAGGGAGGAGTGGGGAACAAGCTGCCCGGCCGTGTGGTTGAAGCTCATCCCCTGGCTTCTGTCAAGACACAGCTGGGTGAGATCTTGGGATCAATGAGCTACTCACCACCTAACAGGCCAGATGAGCCTACTGGCTTCTACCCATTTGTAACCTTTCTTAAATGTTGTAAAATGCAACTGGGAATTCTCTATACTTGTTGTGACACATGCCAGAGAGAATGAATACAATCCCTGTTAATAAATACAGATGTTAACAGTTACATTTCAGACTTTAAAATAGCAGGAAGAAAGACACAAACATTTTCGGTCAAAACGCGAAACACTCCGCTGTTGACATTCCAGTGTCGGGCAGTGTTTCCTGCTTGGCTCCCAGACACGTCTGCTGTGCCACAGAAGTATCCACAGTAACACGGAGAAGGAGGTGAAGATGTAATCCTTTAAGTTGATCTCGAACATTCTGGCCAGGAGAAGGAGTTACATCTACAAATTACATCGGGGAGGAGAGCAAAAGGCTTTAAAATTCCTTTCGGAATGGGGGCTTTGGGCAAAAAAAGATCTTCTTCATTAAGAGGGCAAAGTAATTTCGAGCCTGCAAGGATTTTGGCCTGTGTCTAAATTACTACGAGATGCTCTATCTTATTGATATGAGAAATGTACTTATTAAGCAACCAGGAATTTGGGGAGTAGTCATCTCACCACGCAGAGACTTTGCAGAGCAAAGAGCCGTCCTTAAACTGATTAGGTTTTATGTCTATGAATTAAGTACATTACAGTAGAAATATGTAATCTGAAGAATTTAGTTTTTTTAAAAAAATTTTAGACATCTGTACACATACTGTATACTGTAATGACGGTGTGATTGTTTTTTAAAAAAACATTTTGACATTTAAGGTTGTTAAATCACCGCTGCCATAATCATCTGAAACTATATGATTTTGATATAGAAGAGCCCCAAAATTATATATATATAAATCTATTATTTTAGGAGAAAATGTTTATAATGCTGTATGTACACTATTTATAAAATGATACTATAAAATGCGTAGCTGTATAAGCTGTAAGAACTGAATGTGTATATTTGTAAATGTCAATCATGCTGCTGTCTCTTAAAAGTATATTTGCTAAAAAGTGCACTATTTCTATATTGTGGAATTCTTTTGTCATGCATATGAAATAAAGTATCACACTTTTCATGAAAATATTACGTAAAGCCTTATAATTCAGTGTATTAAAGAAAAAAAAAGATGTTTGTTCATTGGATCTAAGAAGCAGGAAGTGTCTGTCTTCAGCAACAGCCTGCAGAAGATCAAATAATAAGCTGATTCTGGAGGGGCTGTCTCCCACAGGGAAACACAGGCCAGGGCCTCCTAGCTGAAAAGAAGGAGTCAGGAAACCATTCCTCAGTGTGCCTGAGGCACTTCTCCATCCTAATTACAGGTTCCGTGACGGGGGACATTCTTCCTTGCTTTCCACCTCGGAGAAACACCGCATTTCCACCTTAACTGTTTTATGCTATGAAACCTGAAGATTCTTCCCCATGTGCCTCAAACATGGCTCTCTGCCGTACGTTGTTGAAGTACTCAAACAGAATGAGTTGGATAAACACCTCTGATTTACAGCTCTGAATCCGACAGCAGTGGAACCTGCGTCAAGCTCGTTACCCCGTGGATGAGATCCAGCCAGCAGTCTGAAGTGAATCCTTGGCTCCAGGTTGTGCTTTGACACCACGGAAATTCTCCGCCCAAGTGCTGTGTTTTTCTTACGAGCCCCGCGTCCTCGGCCTGCGGATGAACTCGGATCTTGTCCGTAGTATTACGGCCTGCTCAGTGTGCTGCACGCGTTGCGCTACCTGTGTTGTAGCGCAGGGGTGAGAGGTCTCTGAAGGAAACATCTGGAGAGAAGGTGCAGGCGGCTGCCGCGGCAGAGCCGACGTTTTTAACGGCTTTTGTTGACGCCTTTCTGCAGAGCCGATTCAGTGTATCGTTGCCATGGAGACTGGCGGCCCAAACTCGGAGACGGTAGGCGCTGGGAGAGACTGCAGATGAGTTACGAGCAGCTAAGAACGTGTTCACCTTGTTTCCCTTTGTCTATGAGAAGATCTGGCTCTGTGGGTTCAGCGGGAGTGGGTAGCCCTCATCCTGTGAGGACACGATGCTCGTGAAGAAACAGGTAGCACATTCCATCATTAAAGACCATAAAGAGCTCGTCATTTTCACTTACCACAAAGAAATAACAGTAGAATTTATTGCATCCAAGACCTTATAAAAACCAAACCATTTTTCTGAAGGGCAGCTGAGGATTGTGTCAGTTTTTGGCGTAACTAGGCTCATTCTCCAAATTGCTTTCCCTCGTGAATAACAGCCTTCATTGGTTTTCAGTCCCCGAGAGATGAATTTAGCCACCAAATTCCAAAACATACCACTTAACCCCCAGTTTTGCCTTTCAAACAAATATGGGTGATCTCTGCTACAAGCTTTATCGAGATCATTTGAATGTGATTGTAATGTGGAGTTTTAAGGTGTCTGAATTAAGCTTAGATTCAGGTTTAATTTAATACTTTTTATAATGAAAGGAAATAAACTCCGAGGTGTCCTGCTGCATGACCAGCAGGGAACCATGCATGGTTCCATCACACCATCGATTCCCTCATTGTGCCATAAACAAAATCTCTCTGCTAATGGCTGACAGTGGAATTCTATTGTGGCAGCACATCTAATCTTTTCACGTGGCCTCAGAGCGCTTCGTTTAATTGCTTTCAATTGGTGCTGGTTTGTCACCTCCCCACTGCAAAAAACAAATCCTCAAGGCAGAAGAAGTCTTAGCCACTTCACATGACTACATGAACCTGGGCCATGAACTACAAGCTTAGCTGGGTAAGTCAAGTCAAGCGTACTGCACGAGCAGTGCTCACACCAGTGACCTCAGCACGCGGGGCAGCGTGGAGGGGTCACAGCAGGCGTCATTCTAGCGTGTCTCATCTAACCGCCCACAGGCGGGGAAAGGGATCACCGGCGTGGGCCTTCCTGCGTCGTGCATGACGCGTGACGCTGCTGTGAGACCAAAAAAAATCTGATTTCAAGGCAGGACTTGCTTTAACAGATCACCAAAACAACATTTCGGAGGGATAATGAATCATCTCTGGTGGATATTGTGGCTAGATAAAAGTGCGCTTAATTTGCACTTTGGTAACCTCTCTCAGTACTGTATATCTGCCAATAAACCCCCCCCCAGGGGCTAATAAAGCTTGAATTGATCGATTGAGTGAACTCATTGTATTAGGTCCAATGTTCATTTGCTGTGTTTATATATCACCTCATCAGGTAGTCTGTTATATTTGGGCACACTGGGTGAAAGCAGTGGGGGTTCCCTTGCTATCACTGTGCCGTCTGCTCCCTGCTCCCATAATGTGAAACCAAGTCTGTGCAGCCTCTTCATTCCCTTAACAACTACAACTCTACACTGTCATGGGTCCATGTGAATGCCCTTCGATGCCCTCAAAAACGCCTTCTGCTGATACAGATTATAGGCCACACAGTTTTGTACGACGGCAATGTTTTTCAGATTTTCAGAGGTGCTCAACGCTAAAATTCTTTGGCTAGGAAAGGTTAGGAAACAACAGGAAAGTGGGGCATCAAGATATTAGAAAATGATGTACTTGGCATATACAGAAAGCATTATCTCCTATGAAGGACTTGGCCGATTATGTTTTGATATAATCCCTTCATGGCAATGGCTTGTGGGGACCTGGGTTCAGTTCTGCCTGGGGTACCCTGTGTGTGGAGTTTCCCTGTTCCCTCTGAGCCTGTGCAGCCCTCTTACGTTGTAAAGCAGGAGGCTTGTAAATACATCGCTTTTAATCCCGTAAAAATACTACACTCAACTGCGCCGGTTTTGTCTACAAATACAACTTGTTAGCTCTGCCTGCAGATTTTGTTGGAACATTTCTGCGGCAAAATCTCTGCTGCACAACCTGCACGTATTCGCTCCTACATCCCATGACATCAGCCCTTACAGTGACTAGTGAGCAGGAAGGGCCTCTTCACGTCGCCATCTGTGGGGAATTCGGGCGCGGGGCGCGACGTCGCCAACGCGCGCGGTCCGGCGATTCATTCGAAATTCGTTCAATTGTTTCTGCGGCCGCGAGGATTTTATTTTGTTACTGAAACGTAGGAACCAGTCCAAGAGATCGGGACTGCCGTTCCCCCCCTGGAGCCATTCTCACATCATGTTTCCTCTCAACAGCGGAGGGGGGGGGGGGCAGATTTGGGGGGGCCTCTGTGACGTCCAGCAGGAAGGGAGGCAAGAGGAAGAGGCCGAGGCGTGACCTGATGGGAAGCCGGCTGTCGGGACAGTTCAGACGCGCAGCGCGGTACGGACACCAACCTGGGGACTGAAGGTGGGTGAGGTGCCTTCCAGAGTGAGGTGGGGGGGTGCTCACAGAGCCCAGCATGGCCGGACTCCCCCCCACGAGTCCCACCTTCAAAGGCTGTGCCAGCAGACACCTCGCCTGTTGGTGCACTTTGTCCTTGGGCCCCCGCGGTCAGGGTCGCCCGACAGCCTCGCCGCGGGAGCGACACTTTGAGCGTCGGGCCCGTGACCCCCGGACACGCTCCTTCCATCAAAGCTGGCATTTTCTACCCAGGCCTCCTGCGTCACGAGGGCACCTGGGGCCCTCAGCTGCCTGACCTTCTGTGACATTATGAGAAAAGGATTTCCCCCCCCCTCCGGGCCTCACGCGTTCCAATTCAAACTCGGAATCCTTCTGCTTCAAAGGGATTCGCAGACCAGATGTCCCCAAACGTGCTTTAGACAAACGCGGTGGCTATTTCTGCACATGGCTTCTTTTCAGAACATTCTGTGCTTCAAGCCAGTATCAGCTCTTCCGCAGAGATATATAGATTTACTTCCATACACGTGTAATAAAAGGATTTTTATAGATTTGTTCTTCTGATTGCCCTAAAGGATACATTTTATACATACGTTATGACTAGGGGGTGAGGAGCAAAACTAAGCGAGATAAGAACCACTCAGAAAGCTCAGAACAAAAGATATTGTTTCAAAGTGTTTTCCAGCTGTCTGTAGGCTCAGAGGCAAGTAAACACAGGAAATCAAAGGGTGGTTTTAAAGCCACACTCAGGTTAACTTGATTGTGAATCACGTCTGAATTGTGGTCATCTATTGAAGAATCAATATTCAACAGTGATGGAGAGGCCAGGACAAGGACAAGAGGAAACATCTTCATCCATCATCATCATCATCTACCCTCCTCTATCCAGACCGCTTGAGTCGTGCAAGACAAATCTTTCTTCTGAGCAGTACTGGAGTTCAGATTCTGGCTTAGTAATCTGAACACTATTGAGATCTTGCCCTCTTATTATAAGGAAACTAACTTACTACATTGTGGAATCCTTAGGATTAAAAAAATTCTCTCCTAGTTTGGTGACGCATTTCTAGAAGAGGAAAATGCATTCCCATTAATTTGGGAATCCACGTTGAAGGAAGAGAGATTCAATTGGGTTACATCTGTATTTTTATTATTGTGCAGGATTCTCTCTTTTTGGCCTTTTAAGATGTGTCGTAGTGTTTTTAGATTCCAGGGGTAGAATTCTGGGTTTCTGAGCTTATAGGCAGTAGGATCTAAACACACAGACTGTACTGTGTGCAAATAGCGGTCTATGGCATAGCTTTTGTGAAACTGTTGTACAATTGTGTTATTTAATACACAGTACTGCTGTGCAACCACTGAGAGAAAGCTTCACAAACTGATGCTGTAACATTTGTAACAGAGCTACGTCCACCAAATTTAATCATTTTTATTGTTAATTTGTAAACACCGTGGTTTAAATAAAATGCAGGGGGACTGGAAATAGGCAGAACTGTTATGGACAGAGATGTGATTTACACAGAGACCATGCGGCACTGGTAGACATTTCAAATAGCAAGGCTCAGATGCAGACATTAAAAAAAGACACCGAAGATCACAGCAGCTCTGACAGGCTCCTGGAGAAAAATAATATATCTTTTCAAAAAATCAGGTAAATCGTGACAAGAACAACAGTCCACCTCATTCTTCTGCTGCCACTCCTAGAATTTGCCATCAATCTTGTGCGGGGGCAGCTGGGAAGACAGGACCCCAGCATGGCTGGTGGCAGGGAGGAAGAGGAGTCACCTGACGACGCTGCGCATGTGCAACCTGAGGAAGAGGCGTGCTGGCGCTGCCCAGAGCTCACCCTTTCTGAGCCCAGAAAGACCACCCTGCCGCCTTTGGGAGATCAGAGCACAGCTGTCAGCATCCACACTTCAGAAACTCCCAGCTGCAATAAGAGATGCCATTGGATCCCCCGGTTCTTCCCAGAGCACACCAACCATCGCCTGCGTCCGAGGGGACATCACGACAGAGGAAACACTGCCGGAGCAGGTTTTGTTTTGTTCTTTTCCCCGATACGAGGCGGATGAATCAGTCCAATGTGCTCCGGGAAGTGAAGACGAGAGGTGGGAAGGCCGGAGCGGTTTCTTTCCTCTCTGCATCGGGGACGTTTCCATGCCAACGCCAACGGCGTTCCCGCAGAAAGCTGTGGCCTGCAGGTGGAGATATTCACCTTGCACGGACTTCCCCATGTAAGAGGAAACCGCCTTCAAAGATCGGCACGCTGTTAAAAACTGTCAGGATTAAGCGCGGAGCTCCGGCACGTGAAAGGTGCCCACAGCCCTCCTGCAGCCAGGGAGCCAGATGCCGATTGAACCTCGGTGTGGGGCTGCCAAGTGTGGCAAACATGAAGGTCCCTAAAACACCATGACATCAGTCTCGGAAAAGCAGGAGCTACACATCCCGGGTCACAGAACTCCCACAGCACCCAGCCCCATTCTTCGAGTGCCTGCTAAGCATCCATGCGCGTCATGGGGCTTCAAAGGGTTGAAGCCTATAGTGATCTTAAGGATATCTTTGTATTTCTGCCCCAAAATGTGGACTGACCCTGGTGGGACATCGTGTAGCCAATGAACTCCACACCTGGCAGAACAAGGCAACTGATATGTGACTAAAGAACTGCCATCACTTGGCCTGGATGGACTAAACGGCCCCCTCTCTTCTGTAGCCTCTCATATGTTTTCAATGTTCTTCACCAGGATCTCTTGCAGTCCAAAACCCATTTCTTGTAAAGCACAGCGTGATTGCACTGAACTTGTATTGTCAGTGTCTTCAACTGGCAAACATGCTCCTCACAAGACGCTGAAATAATTTTTATATCATCAAATTCGTCTGGGCCCACAACACAGGCTGCTTTTGTTCAGAACCATTCAGGCAATCAATTCCAACTTTGCTATTATCCTTCTACTGTACCAATACAATTAAAGTGAAGATTTGTTTGCTAGTTTTTAATTTCAAATTCCCCCTGCTCAAAAGCAGTTTAACTTCACATTGGGCAGCATCATTGCATTCACACTGATAAACAGATTGGCACATTTCTGATCCTAAATAACAAACGGGTACAGTGAAAATGATCAAAATGTTACACCCATTTGCAACAGCTGCAGCGTCATAATCATTTAGCCAATTCATTCCAAATTTCCTGTGTGCCATAAGACAAAGGCTATAGAGAGAAGGCAATGTAAACAGAAAATTAATTTTCCTCCACTGCACCACCCATGCTGAAAACAGTGTGATATTGATTACTATAAACACACTTGTTTGAGTCTTTGGTGCCCTCTGCTGGCTCTTTTCAAATCAAAATAGAAGGAGCAAAGAAGCAAAGATGCCTTTTCTCGCCTGGTCAGCTTTTGAAAGATGTACAGTACCTGTATGCACTCACATACATCTGGCCACACTATTTCTTAAAGGTTCTTCTTTTTTTTTTTTAGTACCATGACAAAAGCTGACACGTGCAGTTTATTTTTTGTTAAGGCTCAGGAAGTATTTTTAGATATCAAGCAGATGCATGATTCTAACAAAAAAAAATCAATTTCTGAAACCAAAGCTCATCTCCCTAGAAGTACAAAATGTTCAAATATCAGTACTGAAGACACAAATCTTACACATTGTTTTTTTTAATTAACATGTAAATATTTATTCTGTAGAATCCTTCTACACTGCTTTACTGTAGTATTTTTTGATAACAGCACTTGCTATTAAGAGTCCTAGGGGGTTCCTACAAAAAGTGAAACCCCATTGATAACCTTGGATATGTACTGAGGTATACACAATACTTAGACCACTTCTCATTTTAAGCAGTCAACTATGTACAGATAAATGTCTTATTTATATTGTTCTATTATTGTTTATATTGTTAATGAAATCAGTAAAAATATAACAAAATGGAAATTACATTCAGACTTATATGAGCGAGGTTATACAAAAGACAACAGGCAATAATGCTGTAAGGACAAGGTGTGCATAGACACCCCTTTGCATGAGAGGCTGTTACAATTAAAAGTAACTCAAATGATAAACTATTCTAAACCTGTCCACCCATCTTAAAGGCTGTAAAATTTCTTTAATCAATAAATGAAACATATGGTCAACATCTTTTAAGTAAATGGCACTCAAAATCTAGCTTTGCTCAAGTGCCTGATACTGCATAAATTACATTATTGCCAAGATTCAGTGCAGACTTCTTTGTGAACAGGATACATCTAATGTGAGATCGAAGACTGAGAGTCACTTTTATGAGTTCAGCCCATGGAGATTGCTTTCTTAGATACAAAAGCAAGGAATGTTGACATTACTTTTTGCAGAAAATGATGACAAATATGATGACATTCATCCTATCCATCAGATTAGGTTTTAAAACCTTACACCAAACAAATCAGGGCCACAGTCTCCTAAAACCGGCTCAATAGACAAACTAACAGATGCCTCATTTTTTGTGTACAACTATTTTTTCATCTTTAATGTTATCCCATCATCTTATTTGCATTTAATTTTAAATAACGGTAATTACCCCTCTATCCTCTTCCACCATGATCAAATCTAAAAAACATCCTAATACAGTTGAAAAATTACTTAAAGGTGTCTGTTACACTATTTTAAACTTATTTTCAAACTATTGTTAAATCACCTGTTCACTGCAGTTGACAAATCGCGTACCACTGTATTGTGTTAACCCTTACACACCCACAAATTTCTAAATTAAAATGATCAAATATATAGATGTCAAATATAGGTTTCTTCTTGACTGACAAAAAAAATGGGATAACAGTTATTAATGCATGGAAAAATCAAATTTAAACCCATATTCTGGGAGGCGTACAATGTAAGAAATTCAGATTACGAGACTAAGATTCTTAAAACATCAGAAAATCATCCCTACAGTTTGTCACCATTACCTCAACCTTCCACGTTCAACTTTGAATATCTTCAGGGGACATTTAAATATTCTTTAATAAGGCATAACGGGTTTTCAACACCTCAGGCGCACACTCTCTCTGCTGTCTCAAACGTGCAGCTCCAGGGAACTGCTGATGCAAACTATGTCTCCAAAGTACCCGAGTGGCTCATGCCTGGGAACAGCGATGGAAATCACACCCACCCGAGGCTGCAGACCACACATCAGAAGAGCACCGAGAAGCAGGCAGGAAACCGTTAGGGCAACAAAAAGGTTAATGGACCTCCAAAACGTTGTATTTCTGAAGAAACTGCAGCCAACTGCAGTAGTGATATACCAATGATGAACCAGATACCGTCACAGCCCTGCATCTCGAGAAAAGCCGAAATGCAATTTTTTGCAGTGCCAAGTGATTATGCTCTTATTTCTGGTTTTATTGCACCAGTGTGTGGTCAAAGCATATGCCAAAAGCAATAGCTTCTAGGAAATATAATTGCTTTTTCATCCCACACTTAATTTAAGTACGAATTGCTTGCGTGCAAAGGCATATCTCTAGCTCTGTATCCTAGAAGTACCATAATCACCAAGAGCCCAACTTTCAGACAAGGGCTCCTCATGACACAAGGACAGTCACTACAGTTACTTCTGTGCACACTCCTCCCCAGCCCAGGTCTCGCCACATTATTTCTTTCGGCTCAATCTCTTCTGTTTCTCAACGCCTCTCTCACTCCACAGCCTTAGGAAAGAGCAGGGTTGTGGGAGTTCACACCGCATTGTGGACAAACGGCCGAGGTCACCACTCAATGCTTCTCCAGCTGACGCCTGTGTCCCTCATAAAGTGACATTCCCGTGATTTACGAATCCCTAGTGCCATAAGCCAATCCGAGACGGCAGTCGGCTTCTCTTTTTGATGCCTGATTTCGGCCGAGTCCTGCAATGCAGCCAGCAGTAAGATGATCTCGATAGGTGTGGAAAACAAGAAATCATCACCCTCCGTCATGAACACACACCACTTATCAGACGGCAAGGGATGAAGGCGACGCGTCTAAACAACTGTATAACCATACCATTAAAAATATTTATTAATTAAAGTGAGCATCTGATTCACTGAGAGTCTAAAACCGCCGGGGGGTTTAGGAAGTTGTCGTGCCGACGTCCACGGACTGCCGAACGTCAGACACGCTCTCGGGAACTTTAACGGTCATTCCATCCAGAGACTTTGAGAGGCAGATCTGACAGCCCAGGCGGGAGCTGAGGAAAAAAAAAACAGAATCACAAACCATTAGAATACTCCAGCATACACATTGTACAGCTCCACGCATGCACTGAAAGCCATAATTCATTTGCCTCCAGCAATTATTTTAGAAGATTGTATATCGATGTATATGTTTAGGTACAATACATCACTATATTTGCCCGATAATGAGTGAACCGTACATTAACACAAACTAGACGGCTTTTACCAGCTATCAAAAAAATGATTTTTGTCCTGTTGCTTGCTTGGGATAACAGTTCTATAAAAACTGCTTATTAAAATTAAAAACATGTAACAAGCATCATAATGTGAAATTCAGGTCTGCAGCTATAAGTTCGTAGTTCTCCACGGGCCAACTATTACAAGACCTAAGTGAATTTCCAACGATAAACAGCTTCCGATTAGATTTGTTATAAACAGTCTTAATGGCAACTGACCAAGAGCTGCTAAAAATACAAAGCTGTAGAAAACGAAGGGCAGCTAATTATTTTCCGCTAGATTGAAGTTCGGAAAATGCAATAAGCAGGCTTAGGAATGATATAATAAACAAATAAAGGACAGTCATCGAGTTTTAATCGGCAATGTTATTCTCTTGTCTGACTCCACACATGCATAACATCTCAACTAATAAGGATTGCATGTGCAAAGCTGCTTACTGCTCCAACACATTGCCATCCCATGCTGAAAACGCATCCTCAGGAAGATGCTGGCTGGGCAGGGATGAGCTTTAACTTTATGTAAGACTCTCCCCATAGCAACAACTGCCACTCATCAGCGCGAGCGCAGAGCCGAGTGCTGCGGTGCAAACTGCAGGGGAGACGCCTTTACTGTAAGCACCGTTCAAAACAAGGCTCAGGCCCGAAAGTGTGACTAGAACAGAAAATATTTCCAGTGCCAACACTGGCTGGGTTCCAGATTTATCAATGATGAAGGTGACTAAGAACAACAGAATAACATCAATAATAATGATATCCAATGCTTACGGCGAATTTGCCGTTGTCAGACTACATTATGCGACCATAAGTCTCATCATCCTTGGCTACACCATGGTGACCAAGCCCGTCGGCGTCCACCACTGGACACTCACGTGTCAGTCAGCCCGTAGGCCAAGTCCAGCATGTCCATCTCCTCGTCTGTGATCGGGCCGAGCTGCTTATAGACGTCTTTCTCAAAGATTAAATGGCAGGTGGAGCAGGCCAGGGTCCCCTCGCAGGCACCTGAGTGGACAAGGAGTGAAATCCAGGCTCACACCGGGCTGAGCCCAAGGGGGTAGCTTTACACCAGGCCTGCCGAACAGCTACCAGCGGCGCTGTCCAAGCAGACACCCTAGCCTCTCTCTCCTCTCTCCTTGCACCTCCGACACCGGCAGAGTCGGAGCTGTAAATAAAAGTGGCTTCCCCCAACACAGATTTTGTGTTTTGCGCCCCTGTGAAAACTTGAACCTTGAACATATATCGCATATTTAGTAGCGCCAGGATCAAAGTGCATCTTGCGGAATCACAGAAGACGGAGGTTCCTCAGATGTACAGTACAGCATGTGAAAGGTGACAGACACAGGGACAGTAATCAGAGCTTGAAAAGGCCAAGAGTGTGTCGTGTTGGACAGCAGGACCTCCTGCGATATGGGATTTGCAGGTAGCAGACAAGCTGCGAGGAAGCCTTTCTTTCATTTCACATCTACCACACACCATCCAACACCCAGAAGAGTGGTCTGCGCTAACCTTTGACTTACGGCAAAACAGGACTTTTGCTCAACATGGCTCCTGCGATGTTGTAACTCATGGTCTCTCAGTCCATGGTCAATCAAGGAGTTATGAAAGTAACATCTAAATATTCTGGTGTAATCATTTTACGTTTCATCAGCTGCTAAGAACATATTTCAATAACAACCAAAATTGAAAGCTAAAAAGTTGTGTATTTTCCATTTAAAAGCACATTGTAGAATTCCAGGTTTTCTGATGCAGAAACAAAGCCTAGTCACCGAATTAAAAAAAAAATACCTGTGCTTTTCACAGTCGCTTTTGTTTTGGAAGATTCAATAAGTTATGGATAAAATAAAATAATATGGAGTGGCCTCTCCATAAAATGTTGTTTTTCCTACCAACAACTTTATTCTACACAATTAAAGAATATTTAATGGAGAGGCCACTCCATATAATTTTATTTTATCCATAACTTTTTTATCCAATGCGCACATTGTACAGTCTACCACTCCTCATTCTACCTATTAGAGCTTTAATATGTTTTTATCTTTTAAAAAAATTTAAAATCTTATGTTGACATAAAAAGACACTCAATGTCCTTCAACAGAGTGTGGCAAATTGTTTTCACTTATTTAGGTGCACTGTTTTCTCCATAGTTATAATCAAGCCTCAGCTGGCACATGCGAACACAAAGATTTGGAAAAGCTTTTCAATAACCGGAGATGAGGACCCCCTTGATGATGGGTGCCCAGGAATTAGCCACGAAGCGCACCTGGACTGCGAGAGTGGGGGGCCCAGCTGGCCTCTCGGCTCGTGCCTTGCAGCCTGACCACAGGACGACACGCTGGAAACTCGGACAGTAACGAGCAGAGAGAGCTGCCCTGGGCCTGCAGCCCAGCGCCGCGCGGTAACCAGGAAATCTCCGACGCTCACGTGCCCCACCAAGGGGAGACGCGGAGTCGCGGTTCGGGAGGATGGTTAGGATTCCCCCCCGCGGCTGCCGAGCCTGTGCCACGGACACTGCCTTATCTGGACAAAGACTGCAAACGTCCCCGGTTGGCAGGGACCGTGGAAATACATTCATTACAGCATTTTACGACCAAGAATGCCAACTATTTTCGCAACGTACAGTTGTTTTCACATGAAATTAAAACATGTCTTTGGAGAGTCAAGAAAACCCCAATAAATCCTCGTTTCTAACCTGCTGGTCTGTGCAGCTCTTAGCAAGCTGGTTTGGCACGCACATATTCAGAGCAGCTATCGAAGCACGAGGTCAGCAATTACGTTTTTGCACTGTGCCAAAAGAACCTCAAGTCTTTGAAGATACTGGTGTCCCGCACAAAGGGTTTTCAGGACAGAAATACTGATCTAAATGTGGAGACAGCAAACTGCGTGAATAATTATTGCGATGATTTATGTGTGTTATAGCATTTGTACTTGATGTTGGGAGATTTTACAAAACCGGGATTTGTTCAATGGTTATTTTAACTATACATCAACAGCATATCCAAACTTGCAAGTGAACTCTTTACTAATAGTACTTAAGGGTTTAAGCATAATTAAATCTTAAAAAACACTCAGAACATTTAAAGACACGACACGATCTATTTTTACCATCCCCATGGGTATTATCCTTACAGAAAAATGTACATGAGTATTATTGTAGTTGATCGAACTTCAGAAATAGAACAAATACATATAGCTATCGATATGCAATATGCTGACTGAAATTCCAACAAGGGCTTCCTGGTTAACCATCTCCAGTTTATATATATAATAGCAGATTTTTCTTCTATGTTGATTCTTAGCGATACACAGAAGGAATAGAGTTGATTTCATGCAGACACCAACTTGTAGATAGTTTCCCACAGTTGGGTAGTGCAAGATAGAGCACTATCTGTAGAGAATACATTTCCAACCTGCCTACTACAGAACCCTGTATTTCTCAGCATGATTAACCAAATCCCTGTACTGAGGAAGTCATTACTGTGGAAAGTTACACGTTCCATCAAAAACTGGAGCTTTTCACGCCAGAAAACTTCCAGGGTCAAGGAGAGACAATTTTGACCTGCTTAGAAAGGCCGGTAAACTTCTATATGGAAACTTGTTTCCAGCTTTTTCAGCTGCTTCACGGAATTAGAAGTGTACGGAGTTATTCTGGATAACTGCAAATAGGGTACATAACATTGAATCCAAAAACCACGCATCGAAAAGATCCGTTTAAGATACGTATCAAACGTATCACTCCACCTTTGCCGGCGGATTTCTGAGAATTCACTGGAACGTTGAATGAATGATTTGTGAATACGTGTATTTAACCCAGGGCATGTCTTACTGTAGGTTTAGTCCCTGAGCTAGTAGGCTTTCCAGCCCTCAGAATTCCAGGAATGTTTGATCACACAGTTTCCTCAGGTGACCACAGACTCCTAAGTACCCAGGAGGTCCCGGCGGTGGTGGAACGCTCAGGAATGAGGCATCTGTTAAAAGCTCCTCTTACATACTGACATTTCATACTCACCTACCGTATATATGAAAATGAAACTGCTTGTGGGGGGAAAAAAAATAAATAACCCAGGCTGACTTTTAGGTCACAAAATGAATCACTTATTAATGACAGCAATCTCATTTCACACAGAGGAGAGAAATGAAATCAGCACTGGGCGGATGACAAAAGCTTTTGGCCTGCTGAAACGCATAACTTACACCACCTATACGTCACATCCTGGGCCTCCTGCAGCCCCGCTCCTCTCTGGGGCCAAGCTGTGTACAGCGAGGAGCTCGTTTCTAGGATGGCAGGTTAAAAACTGCACACAAGGCCCCAAGAGAGACGACACTTGGGAAAACCAGAACTCCCTGACACAGGGAAGCCTGAAAGTACAGAACATTTCACGCATCGGCACAGGCTGCTATCACAGTCAGAAATAAGGACATGGAGTGGTCAGTGTAAGTATGGTTATACAGTTCTCAGCAGCACTTGCGAAAAGTCATGTGTTCAAGTCAAGTTCACTGTTTGGCATCATTCATCCCAGCAAATAAAACCCAGATGAAATAAACAAAGGCAAGACAAAATATTTATATATTTTTAACATATCAAGGGCATCTGCATTTTCTTCAGCCTACCTGAAAACCCTGATTTTACTTATGGTTGCTATGCTTTTCAGTATCTCAGTCTTTGACTGGATGGATCATTTTTGCAGCGAGTCCTGCAAAAAAAAAAAAGCTGTCTGTGTTTGTGTGCTGCGTTATCAAACTAACGCAACTTGGAGGAATGTCAGACAATAACAAATGCCACACTCCCTGCTCCTCCACGGGCCTCTGAATTCCTAACACAGATAGCTTTATATGAACAGAGTTCTGCACCCTGAGGAAGAGACTTTTTTTTTTAGTTCCAGGGCTCTCAACTTTATCATTTTAATACCAAAATAGGAAGATCCCTGAGGATGAGACATCACGCAACACACTGAAAACTGAGGAACTTCCTGCCATCACAACAGGAGCTCCTTGTGATGATTCAGGCATTGTACTGAAGTGCGTTCTTAGAAATCCGCCTGCAATTCCTGCACTGTGCACAAGCAGACTGAACTTTCACTGAACAAAAATCAACATTTAAAAAAAGGTGCAAATAGTTGAATCCTGGGAACACCTTTACGACAACATAAGACTTTAAACATTGTATCAGTACCATAAAACACAGTCATTTCACTCGTCCACTTCCAGAACCTCAGCATATATATTTTCAGGCATGTTTCTGTAGTTTTCCAAACATCCGATTATCAGCTAATAAAAACTACGCGGTAGTGCATGTCAATACAATGTTTACAATCAAATGTGCATAAAATCATAGTCAACGACTTGAAATCATAATGATGGTACAAACCTTCATTTACATTAAAAAAAGTGCACTCGCCTCTAGCTACCAGCTGTCTTTATTACTACAGTGTATACTACACAGAATTAACACATTTTAAATCAAAGACGGGTGCTATTGTGCTGAACGAAATTGTTAGGATCACTCTTTTTAATTTAATTTAATACTTTATGGACACAATACTTGGCTGTGATAATTCCAGTTCTGTTACTGCGATGAAACTAACAATGACACCACATTCTCTCTGTTTACATATTTCAGGGGTAAAGAAACAATGCTACAGAAACGAGAAAAGCCACTTTTTCCTGCATACCTTTCTTTCACCAAGGAAATTCATCATGAACTTAGCTTCAGTGCACAGCCAGTGGGCCAGTTCACAGCTGCTAAATACCATTAATGCTTTTTACACAAAAAAAAGCAAGGCTGTTCAACGCACAGCAATTTTTAGATCATGTAAACACAGGTCAAAGTCTCCTGGTCACCCGTGTTACGCAGGCAGAAAGAAGAAATTCTTGGTCTTCTTTAAACATGCACAGGCCAAAAAGAAGAGATTTAAATAAGAAACAGCAATAGGGAAACTAGCCAGATCCTCAGATGATCCAGCTGTGATTTGGGAGTTTACACTGTCAAGCTCAGTGCGATACTGACTAACAGATCAGAGCTGTTCCTGTGCCTGTGACAGATAAGTGTTCAATGAAGATGATTCAGGAATGCAAAGGGGAAAGAGAAGGAAAAGCAGCAGCAGATGAAATGAATGAATCAGAAGGAAATGGCATTAAAACAGGTTAACAGGGAGAAATGAAACTCACCAAAGCCATCAAAATCTAGGTTTTTGTCAATCACAACATCTAATAAAGAGTCCCCAGTGTTGCCCTGCACAGTGATCTTTTCTCCATCTCGGTTGACGAAATGAACGGTCACTTTGTCTTCTGCCCTGAGGGATTTCAAAACAAAAGCAAAAATCAGTCATTTTTACCACAGTCAGCCGGTCATGAAGTCAAGCAATTGGCTGCCCAGTACTGAATTAGGGATAGATGCCCCAGAACTTACTTGTGAGCACATGTCATTGCAAAAAAAACACCTTGTAAAAATAAAAACTGCTTCTTACAGGACGGGAAGCACGCATGACACAAGGCAGTGTTGTTCCACAAAAAAAAAAAGGAAAATCTACAGGTTAATGGAAGAGATTTTATAAAAATAAAAAACTGAACAAGACCACTCACTGTAAATAAAAAACCAATCAGCCACTGATTTGTAAAAACTAGATAACGCATTAAATTCATGAATTGGTTGATCAATGGAATCTTTACAATCACCCTTTGATGCCAGTCACACAGATTCAGCTCGGTGTCATTTTTTAATTTTCCACCATATTGAAAATACTACCGCAGAGTGCCAGGAGACAATATATGGACATAGATCAAGCTTCATGCAGATCCTCAAATAACAGCTCATCATTCCTTTCAGGAATTTGCAACTCCAAGGTAAAACTCTAGGGAATTATGCAAGTAACAGGAGGGCTAAAATGCTCCTTGTGCCAGTGAAATGACTGGGGGGGCTTTACAATCCCGATATCATTAGGGAGCTACATACGTATTTTAAATATTTATAGACTAAAACTAGAAAGTCAAACATCAGAAATTTTAAGGATAAGTGCAATGTTTTGTCAATAAAGCCAAGTCTTAAGACTCTAATCTGGGTTAGTATACATAGACTCCGACAAACTGAGAGATTACCAGCCTTGTTATGCAGAACAGCATTTGAAGTTAAGGTATAAAAAAAAAACTACCACTAACCTTTAGACTAGGAAATTGATTTGACCGTTGTTAAACCCAGCTCCTCAAACGGAAAACAGTAGGTAAAGGGAATGCTTAGCAGATACAAGGTGTTTAAACAACCAGTTTAAAACTGAACGTTATTAAAAGTCCAGCACATTTCATTAGCCCTTTATTGAAAACCCCAGGCTTGGAAGTCAGGAAGTTCAAAATAAGATATAAGCTGGGCTACAAAAATGAGCAATCAAAAAAAGCTGAAGTACTAACATTTCCGCAGGACAATTATGGTTTTATTAGAGCTTGCTGCCCTCTACTGTCTGTATTTTGCAATGCCTCCGAAAGAGAACTACAGGAGGGCTGAAGAAATAATACCTTCTGAAATGTGAATGAAAGTGATTATTAAATCTATTGCTTTACTAAAGAAGTTTAACAATGATCACAGCTTCCACACACTTATCCTTGCCTCCTACGAAAGCTTTGTGCTTATATTTTTAACACAATCTAATCCTTAATGAGAAAGAGTTTCTCCGGGAGCATGCCAGAAATTTGAGAGAAATGATGAGCTGCTCATCATTTCAGCAGCTCATCATAAATGATGAGCTGCTGAAGTCACTCCTGCTGAAGGAGAGCTGGGTTCAGTAATACTTCACTGAACCCAGCTCTCCTTCACCAGAGCAAGGCCCAGCTGTTAAATGCTCAACAATGATAACAACTGTTACTTATTCTTATCTCTGTGATGAAAAAATGAAGAAAGAAGTTAAACACTATTCTAAAGATCCAATACAAATAAAACTGAAATGTAAATGACATGCAAAGAAACCTGAGCTTCATTTGTATATTCAAGTCTTCTTGGAGATAATTTATGACAATTATGTAGTGCATTTCAAACAAAGCTCATAAAGAATTCCAGTAGGTAAAGCTTCTTTTAAAGCTGCATTTATAAACCATAAAGCCTATAAAATGACCAGGCATGAAGACCACATGCTACGCTAAGCTGTTTTTTGTAGGCTAATGCTTGATTACAGGCCATTAACAAATTCAGCTATAAGCATTTGTTCAAGCAAGCAGTCCTGGCTATACAGTCCAGTTGTACCTATAACGTTGGTCTGGGAAAAGTTACTTTAATCTGCGTGGGCTCTCTCCTTCAGACAACATGGAAAACTAAGGCCCCCATTATGAGCTACTCCACTGAATTCATTACTCATTATCAGGTGCATTGTGATCTTTTTTACAATGACCTTTAACGGTTCATTCAAGTTCGAGCTAAATGGGCATCGCGTTAGGTTAAGAAAGGTGAACGCACTGAAGCATTATCAAGCACTGCAGGAAAAACAAATAACTGCACAAAAGATGAAATTGGCCCTTAGCTCCGAGTCATGTTAGGCTCTGAAATGCCTGGGGGGAAAGAGGAATGGGCAAGGGCTGGACACAGGTACTATGCAAAGTGGGACGATGGACAGGAATTGTGGCACCAGAGGCAATGCTGCTGCTGCAACACTTGTTAGAGCACCTTTCTGTGGGAGCCAGCGACTGGCAAACAGCCACAGGCCCTCCTGGGGACACACGCTCGCATGCACTGCAGAGGGGGCACAAAGCGAATGTGGGAAACAAAACTGAAATAGTCATGGTGAGAGTTTACTGGAAACATATTTCAGGGGGGAAAATGTTTTACGAATGATATAATCAGAGTAATAAAGGAAAGTATACGTCTCCTCTTCTTAACACTAACTGTCCTTAAATGCCACTGCTCATTCAAATAAAACCTGTTTATTTCAGCTCTTAGCTGTCCCCTATTAACCCTGAAGCCCAGAGGATTTAATTCACGCCTTAAGCATTGATAAGTTTACACCCCATTCATTCTTACACTGGGATACCACAATTCGAACCTTGTGAGGTAACTGTTCAAGGTGACAATTCGGTACCACCAATCACAAAATCACAAAACAGCTTTATGTAGTTTTGCGTCTTTAAGCCAACAGAAAGAATGCTTTATACGCTGCAGCTACAATACAGCCACTTCCCTGCAAGGTGACGACGCTTGAAATCATTCTGTTCCTAAACCGATGAAAAGGCATGTGATCAACACATTTTCAAACATCATTCTGACCGTGGACCTCTCGGCCACTTGACGGCTGTTACCACCAAGGGTCAAGAGAAGCTGGTTTCGACTGACCTGAACCGATCTTAACTGGGTGGCAGGGGGTTAATTTACAGGTTAATTTACTTGATGAATGGGAATACTGTATGTATAGTCTGAAAACTATTTCAATAGCACAGGCAAAAGGATTTGAACCACTAAGACCAGGTGCTGGACGTTAGTCAGAACAGGGTACGGGGTACGGACAGGCATGCAAAACGATTTTAAAATTAAATACATTTGATTTCTGCATCATCAGTACAATTTGTAAAAACAGGCAAACCTCATATCATTTAAACTGCCCGTCACCATGAATGGCCCCAGGCATTTGATATACGCTGTAAACACGGGACAAAATCTGGATTTCAACTAGCATTAAAGACGGATGCACAGTCCTTACTCTGAACAATACAGTGCTTTATTTTCTACCTAGTAGAGAAAAATCAAAGAACCGAGGCAGCTCTACTATAATCTCTCCGACACTGTTGGTGCCACTGTGAAACAGGCCTTCACAACTATTCAAGTAGGAAATTTAAGCATTGAAGATTACTTGTCCAAGCAACACTAATCCGCAATCGTTTGATTAATTCTTAAACACCTATCTAGACGCTTACTTAGCACACCCGAAACATAGCATTTTATTTTTTCTATGTACGTGCTTTATTTTTACATAATGCAGTGCCTCTCTTCACAAAACGAAGCTGAGGATGCAAACTCGTACGTGAATCTTAAAAAGTCAGTTTTAGCAGACTAGACACGACTTGTCTTATTTAAGAGTCTCAAACTGCACACAAGGTGACATCCCGGTCAGGCCAGCTACGTTCAAACAAAGTTGAACTTCTGTCCTTGTTACGTAACCTGCACAGGATGACAGCTCTTCAGCCTTTTCCCAATTATGAAACGTTTTCGTCAGACTTAACGGTGGGGTTTTAGAAATGTTCAGTGAATGCCTGTTTTCCACAAAGTACATTTTATTGCGCTAGAAAACGACGTTCCTGTGCCATTCAGTACGTATCCATGCGACATTCACGTCTCACAAACACAGGTGCAAAGCAGCTATCCGATTCTTAAACATAGTTCACGACGTGTTTCTTCCACAAAGGTTATCTCTTACGGCGAGTTCGCACTTAAAGGTCGCTGCTGACTTTCAGCCGCTAAGCCGAGACGGTCCGCTCAGTGTCCCGGGTCTTGGGCGCCACCGAGTGTTTCCTACCTGCGAGCCCCGGTGCCGGAGCTCAGCGCCCGGCTCAGACTGCAGGCCGTGCCCCGGCGGCCGGCCGCTGCCAGCGTCCCCGGCGGAGTGTGCCCGGCAACCGCCAACCTGGAGCCGAGCACCAGGCTCTGGGAGAGCGAGAGTAATCTCCTCGTCACCGCCGCCACCGTCATGTTAATGACACGCTAAAATAAAAATAATCAGAGGAAGAAGGGGAGGGAAAAAAAAGGCCGGAATGACACCACCGCTCGTCTTCCACAATGACCGGCTCCGAGCCTGTGCAGCAGATCCTCCAGCTCAGCACACTGCCTCCGTCTGGTTTGAACACCGCTGTCTTCTCTTCCTCATAGATCACGCAAATCCTGTATAAAGTTCAGAGGCAGTATATGTTTCTTCCGCCCCCCGAAAGTCTTCTTTTCAACACGTATGACTCGTTCCTTGGCGAGATTTTACGTTTAAAGGTGTGTCATATCTTTTTGCCCACTTTGCGTGCACAAAAAAAAATAGATTCTGATTTCGATATTCAAGATAGGATTTGTCCACGAGTTTCATAGCTGAAACAACTGGAACATACATAAAAATCTAGTTATATTGTGCGCAATACAAAAAAAAAAAGTAAATTAACTTATCTAAGAAATGTTTAAAAGTTCTGCATACCTTTTCAGAGATCTTTTTTTGTAACTGCTTTTGAGCTTGCAGGTAGAATTATTTGCAAATGTATCATTTTATGTAACTAACTATAACTATACTATGGTCAAAATAGCAATTTTGTACAGCGAAAGTGGTACATTTTTCGTCTTTTAGGTTAGTCTAAATTCCATTTAGAATGGTCTGCAGATCTATTCATGCTTCCGACTAAATAAACAAAACAAAAAAACATAATAGAACGGAATCAGTTCTATGTTAAAATGTCTTGCTTACAATAATCTAAAATGTTACCATCGTAATTTTGCACAGAATAGTCATATTTGTGGTACCTAATTGGATTCCAGAAAACACGATGGTCCCATTTATTCACGTCTCAAATTATTCATTTAAATAAATCCCATAAAAACAAATCTTCAATAATATTCTTATGTCTGGAAGTGCAGTGGAACTATTTAGAGGTCTTTGAAGGGTTCTTGTTTCCCTGGGGTGCAAAGGGGCAGCACACAGAAGAGAATAGTGGCAGGCAAATGGTCATTGACTTCTGCCATTTGGATGTTGATGATGATGATGATGATTAGTTTTCATAATAATAATTCCTTACACTTAAAAAGCACTTTACAGGGACTCCCCTCCACCACCACCAGTGTGCAGCCCCACCTGGATGATGCTCCAGTACTCTCCCCACACACCAGCTCTCAGTGGGGAGGAGAGCAGAGTGATGAAGCCAGATCACAGGTGGGGATTATTAGGAGGCCATGACTGGTAAGGGCCAGGGGGAAATTTGGCCAGGATGCTGGGATAACACCCCTATTCTTTTCGAGAAACACCCTGGGATTTTTAATGTCCACAGAGAGTCAGGACCTCAGTTTTACTTCTCACCCGAAGGATGGCTCCTTTTTACAGTACAGTGTCCCCGTCGCTATCATGGGGCATTAGGACCCACACAGACCGCAGGGTGAGCGCCCCCTACTGGCCCCAACTAACACCTCTTCAACCAGCAGCCTTACCTTTCCCAGGAGTCTCCCATCCAGGTACTGGCCAGGCTCACACCTGCTGAGCTTCAGTGGGTTATGATGAAGTATCCCCCAAAATGCTGAATATAAAATCCGAGAGGATGCAGGTGTATCTTGCCTCAACAGACCACAAGAAAAGTGATTTGGGAGGCAAAGCTAATAGTGGAAGATCTCAAGCACAAATTGGCATCTTCAGGGATACAAACAGTTAAAAACTACCATTCATCACGACCTGCATGAAGGCGGTATTAATGGACTGGTTGGGTCTTCCTCGAGTGACAGAAAAGTGACTTTCAGATGTTGTTTGTCAAAGTCCTTGGAGTCATGTCTTATGATCATCTCAGGTGGCATCATAAACCCA